ACGGCTGAGCACCATGTATTTGAAGTGGAATTTTTTTTAAGTGGCAATTCCTGTGTAGATGTTCAGTAGAAAATTCCCAACTCGAAACACCATTTTGCTGTGGGTGGGTAACTTTAAAGCTACTAGTTCAGCATTGAAACTAAAATCAACAGGCCATCCAAGGTCAGCCCAGACGCCAGAGAACGTCAAGAGAGTGAGGAGGACTGTGTGGTGTGGTTGGAAAGTGTGATTTGTCACTCGAATAATGACAATTTTGTGACGTGTAAGCAAATCAATCACTTGTTCAGAAAACGAGATGTGCTTAGCATAACCACTCCAGGGCTTCAACTGCTGCACGATTGCAATTTTGTATGAATGAAAGTGCAGGTCGTATCGTAATACTCTTCTACCGAGCGGCCAGACTTATTTTATGGGCAGAACAGCAGCTTATTTACGTGCAAGCCGCAGAGGACTAGCTTCCACAGCTTCTCTCAATCTCTCGACGTTCTCTGGCGTCCGGGGTCTTGGACAGCCTGTTGATTTTTTTTTAATGCTGAACTAGTAGCTCTGAAGTTACCCACCCACAGCAAAATGGTGTTTCGAGTTGGGACTTTTACCCTCGGACCCACATTGAAACGTCTACGGAACTGCTGATGAACAGCTACACAGGAACTGCCACTTAAAAAAAAAACACTTCCACTACAAATACATGGTGCTCAGCTGTCCTGTCCACAGCTCCATGGCTACTAAAAATGTCCGCACGTAGGCTTTAGAACGCTCCTATTCCCAACACCCTCCGCCACTTACTCGCTCAACAGTCAGATCATTTAGCCGCTCCCTGTACGGCGGTTAAGAGGGGGTAAAGTACGATAATGGGTAAGGAAATGTCCTTAATGAAGAATTCTTGGGCCGGACTTGGTAGGAACTTGGCTTTGAAATTTACGGAGGTAATGGTTGTCATTCCTTAATGTGATGTTGGATTCAGTGGTGATATTATGAGATACAGTACCTATGTTTTGTCTCCAGTAGGTAATGATTTGACTCAACATTTCATCCCATTCTTCCTTGTAACGCATAAAAAATCCAAAAGACTTGATTATGCCGATATATCGGCAGTTGGCGTTTTTAGAATATAATGAGAGTGCCGATATATCGGTAGTTGGCGCTGAAAGGGATATGCACTATATTTCACTAACTGATCTCAGATATCAAATAAATTTTTGTCTTCATTAGATCAATAAACAATAAGTTATAAACTTTTGTTTACTGAGGCTTTACCAGCTTTATCACACAGTATTGCTGACAACTGCATCTTTATAATATGAACCACCCCCCAATGCCTGATTGTTACATGGTAAGTTTTATCGTGATGTTTTTACAAACCTCAGCACAATCCACAAATAGGCGACCAGTTCAAACACAATAGATTTTTATTTTTAGTGTTTAACATTTTTGGCTCAGTCAATGTTCCCAATGCCAAATTGAATCCAATCCATTAAAATAAAGCAAAAAAAAACACTCTTAGTTAATCAACAGCATTTTAGGTTAAGGATCGAAAGTAACTTATAGTGTTTTTTAAGTCTGTTTGTTTATGTTATCTCAGAGGGATGAATGGTAAACTACATTGTTTTTCAATAAGGATACAAACCAAGCGTCTAAGTGTGAGTAAGGACAAAAGTCAGGTTATATTCGTTGTTACGTTTTGAATTTACTTAGGCCTATAGCGAGCCATTCTAGCAGATGTGCCTGTTATTAAAATATCAAGGTACCTAAGTAAGTAACCGGTAATAAACTTAGGCTATACCCTACTTAAATTCACCAATTCTAAAAAATACTAAACTGCAATGTCTATGAGTTAGGATGGTAAAAACCAAAATATAAACTTAAGATCGGTGCTTTAGAATTGTTTTATGTGGACACGCCTTTTGTCCCAAGCATTTGACATTGGAAAAATGATTTCCCGTAAAATACTGTGTATTAAGTCTTGGATGTGAATTTGTTGAGCAAGGAGAAGTGTGTGGATTACTATATACGTTTAAGTTAATCAGAAAACTGATTGGGTATGATAGGCTTTGTTGACTCAACTGATTGGTGTGAACCTGGCAATAACTCCAGCCATAAGTAGTGCGCGCGCCCGAAAAAATCTATTGCTGGCCGTTTTGCGGCAAAATGCGACCGCGTAACATGAAACCGATGATGTCACCAGATAGAGGACAGTTTAACGGACACAACAGCATCAATATCATGTACCTGGGGAATAAGAAAGGGGGGGTAAAGTCAGCAATAAGTAGTGGGCGCGCCCGAAGAAATCTATTGCCGGCCGTATTGCGGAAAAATACGTCCGCGAGCAATAATAACGACGATGCCAACAGATAGAGGACACTTCAACGGACACGACAGTATCAACATCATGTACCTGGGGAGTAATATAAGGGGGGTAAAACCAGCAATAAGTTGTGCGCGCGCCCTTTCAAATCTATTGCTGGCCGTATTTCGGAGAAATACGTCCGCGAGCAATAATAACGACGACGCCAACAGATAGAGGACCCTTCAACGGACACCACAGTATCAACATCATGTACCTGGGGAGTAATATAAGGGGGGTAAAACCAGCAATAAGCTGTGCGCGCGCCCTTTCAAATCTATTGCTGGCCGTATTGCGGAGAAATACGTCCGCGAGCAATAATAACGACGATGCCAACAGATAGAGGACACTTCAACGGACACGACAGTATCAACATCATGTACCTGGGGAGTAATTTAGGGGGGGTAAAACCAGCAATAAGTAGTGGGCGCGCCTGAAAAAATCTATTCCCGGCCGTATTGCGGAAAGATACGTCCGCGAGCAATAATAACGACGACGCCAACAGATAGAGGACCCTTCAACGGACATCACAGTATCAACATCATGTACCTGGGGAGTAATATAAGGGGGGTAAAACCAGCAATAAGTAGTGGGCGCGCCCGAAAAAATCTATTCCCGGCCGTATTGCGGAAAAATACGTCCGCGAGCAATAATAACGACGATGCCAACAGATAGAGGACACTTCAACGGACACGACAGTATCAACATCATGTACCTGGGGAGTAATTTAGGGGGGGGGTAAAACCAGCAATAAGTAGTGGGCGCGCCCGAAAAAATCTATTCCCGGCCGTATTGCAGAAAAATACGTCCGCGAGCAATAATAACGACGATACCAACAGATAGAGGACACTTCAACGGACACGACAGTATCAACATCATGTACCTGGGGAGTAATATAAGCGGGGTAAAACCAGCAATAAGTAGTGCGCGCGCCCGATAAAATCTATTGCTGGCCGTATTGCCGAAAAATACGTCCGCAAGCAATATTAACAATGATGCCAACAGATAGAGGACACTTCAACGGACACGACAGTGTCAATATCATGTACTTGGGGAGTAATATAGGGGGGTAAAACCAGCAATAAGTTGTGCGCGCGCCCGATAAAGTCTGTTGCTGGCCGTATTGCCGAAAAATACGTCCGCGAGCAATAACTTTTACCCCCCCTAAATTACTCCCTAGGTACGGTACATGAAGTTGATACTGTCGTGTTCGTTGAAGTGTCCTCTATCTGTTGGCGTCGTCGTTATTATTGCTCGCGGACGTATTTCTCCGCAATACGGCCAGCAATAGATTTGAAAGGGCGCGCGCACAACTTATTACTGGTTTTACCCCCCTTATATTACTCCCCAGGTACATGATGTTGATACTGTCGTGTCCGTTGAATTGTCCTCTATCTGTTGGCATCATTGTTAATATTGCTTGCGGACGTATTTTTCGGCAATACGGCCAGCAATAGATTTTATCGGGCGCGCGCATTACTTATTGCTGGTTTTACCCCCCCTAAATTACTCCCCAGGTACATGATGTTGATACTGTCGTGTCCGTGGAAGTGTCCTCTATCTGTTGGCGTCGTCGTTATTATTGCTCGCGGACGTATTTCTCCGCAATACGGCCAGCAATAGATTTGAAAGGGCGCGCACACAACTTATTGCTGGTTTTACCCCCCTTATATTACTCCCCAGGTACATGATGTTGATACTGTCGTGTCCGTTGAAGTGTCCTCTATCTTTTGGCATCGTCGTTATTATTGCTCGCGGACGTATTTTTCCGCAATACGGCCGGGAATAGATATTTTCGGGCGCGCCCACTACTTATTGCTGGTTTTACCCCCCTTATATTACTCCCCAGGTACATGATGTTGATACTGTCGTGTCCGTTGAAGTGTCCTCTATCTGTTGGCATCGTCGTTATTATTGCTCGCGGACGTATTTTTCCGCAAAACGGCCGGGAATAGATTTTTTCGGGCGCGCCCACTACTTATTGCTGGTTTAACCCCCCCAAAATTACTCTCCAGGTACATGATGTTGATACTGTCGTGTCCGTTGAAGTGTCCTCTATCTGTTGGCATCGTCGTTATTTTTGCTCGCGGACGTATTTTTCCGCAATACGGCCGGCAATAGATTTTTTCGGGCGCGCCCACTACTTATTGCTGACTTTACCCCCCCTTTCCAATTCCCCAGGTACATGATATTGATACTGTTGTGTCCGTTAAACTGTCCTCTATCTGGTGACATCATCGGTTTCATGTTACGCGGTCGCATTTTGCCGCAAAACGGCCAGCAATAGATTTTAGCGGGCGGGCGTACTACTTATTGCCAAGTTATTGCCAGGTTCACACAAGTTCTCAACTGCTAGATAGCCTATCCTACAATTAGGTGATGATATGGCACTGTAACTAATTAACAATAAGTTGACCGTATACCTGATATATCCATCTGCTTTGTATTGTGATGTCCCACATAGTTTTACCAATAGGCATTAGATAGGACATATGCATTATCTTTATAAAAATAAACTAGGGTCTAATAATGGCAGAGCATGGCCAAGGCATAGGCTCTATCAAAGAGTATTGTTTGTATAGAGGTAAAGCTTTGAAGAATTGTTTGTGAAGCGTTAACACTAATATTTATAAGCACGGTTAATCATAACACTTACCTTCGGATTGAAGGGACAACCCAAGAAGTGAATAAGTTGATATACAAAAACATAAAACTGACACCAGTGTTTGACATTGTAACATGGCGGGTAACCGGCTTGTGCTTTTACAGTCTGCTAATACATGTATACTGTCTTAAACATTATTACAATTCGCTGTATTACTATTGTACTACATCAGGACTATAACACTTGACACAATTGTCTGTATTCCGTTTGCCTTGCCATACAACTAACGTAATACTAATTCTGGTGAGCCATCACATTAATGTCAATAATTTGTTGTTCTTCTCTGTCTGAACTGAACTGAATGTCTCTAGTCTTTTCGTACCAAACAGGGTGGAGAATACGATATTTGACAGTACAGTTGGTTTAGTTTTCATTGAGCAAATACGTAAAATAGTTACTAAATAACAATGTTAGTTTCACAACCGAATGTAATTTAGACATAATATTTAATTATTACTCATGCTTATTTTTTAAAACACCATTACTAATCAATGGGGGCTTTATGGATTCAACAAAAAAGTTAATTGTATTATATAGAAAAAGTATAGGCATTGATTATACTTATTTTGATTTATTTATTTTACGGTAACCACCATTTACAATAATATGTTAATTAATTAATATGCTGTATTTAACATAACAATACGTATGATATTATATATATCTTATACTCGATAGTAAACATGCAAGGGGTACGAATAGGCCAAAACTTATCTCCAAAACTCTCTTAGCAACATTGAAGACTGGAGTAATGTGGACAAATGTGTAGTTATCTCATTCTAACGGTGTTCAGACTTCTCAATTCACGAGCAATGAATCAGTTCTAAAGAGGGTTTCCAAATTTGAAGATCTGGGAGTTATTATATGACACTATCGCTAAATCCAATCGAGCACATTACGCACATCACTAAGCAAGAGCAAACTCTCTGATGGATTCATCCTAAGATCGACAAAGGGTTTCAACTCACCCCTTACTCTCGTTGTACCTTGTATAAAGCTCTTGTTCTTCCAATACTTGAGTATGGATCCACAATTTGGTCCCCTCATCTACTGAACCACATTAACCAGTTGGAAAGCATCGAGCACCACTTCGTCAGACTTCTTGGATGCAGGCTTAGGTTTGACTACCTATACGTACCCCTGTGAGTGAGGCAAGCGAGGTTGAATCTCTTTTTGGCCTCACCCCTCTACACGTGAGGCGGCACCACTCAGCTACTGACACTCTTCAATTTGGTCAATGGCCTCCTGGACTGCCCGGATACCATGGCACCCACTTGCATACCGATAGGAACCCGTTCTAAAACGATTATCTGCCGACGCTACCACCACGTACTATGCATCAAAAAGTGGCCTATAGAGACTTCTACGTACTGGGAGTGATGTCGCAATCCACCTGGACTACTTCCACGACTTATTGTCCTCGTTCCGGAGAAAGGTCACCTCCCTGCTAAAGTAATAATAATCCACATTTTACATAAAATAATTTTTACACTCATATGCACTATATGATTCAATGATTTATTAGGCCATTAAGCAAAGCAATAGACTAAGTCACTTACAATACAAAATAAATCATAAATAGTTCATCTCTTGATTCACAAATAAATGCAAGTTAGATAAATATAATAATAAGGAACCAAACAAAACCATGCTAAACAAAACTGAAGCAAAACCATGCAAAAAACGAGCAAGAAAATAGCCATGCAAGGCAGTGCAAGAGCATTACCTATAACAAAACTGGTAGTTCTACTTTAAAAAATTCAGACAGGTCATAAGGGGTTTCTATCAACCAGTCCTTCATTACTGCCTTGAACCTTGAAACAGGCAAGTCCCTTATGGCTACTGGTAGATGGTTGAAAAATCTGTAACCTGAAACAGGAAAGCATTTAATTGTTCTGCTCAACCTGTGTCTATGCGCAAAAACATTTAAACAATTTCTTGTGGCATAGTTATGTACTTGGTTGTTTCTCAAAAGGTGCAATTCATTTGTCTTAATTTCTAAAAGACATTGAAAGATATACATTGTATACAGTCATGATGCGGTTTTTTTTTAACAAAGGAAGGCAGTGTTCCAGGTACTGGGCTCCACTCAGAACCCTGACAACCTCCTTTTGCGACACTAGAATTTTACTTACACCAGAAGAATGGCCCCAGAGCCTGGTTCCGTGATGATCTGTAGCATAGACTAACCAACACAAGTAGACTTCTCATCCCATTGTAAATTTTGAAGCACGTTTTTCGTGTCTAGTTCATGTACGTGACACAAAGGCGCTAGTGTCGATGAAACTTTGTTACCATTATTTTAGGGTTAATACATACATGATACATGATCTCTCCGTCCGTAGTCCTTTGCCTTAAGGAATTGGACAGGTCAGGGTTAATACAAAGAATAACCAGCTTAATACTAATTTTTGTCACCATCTAGGTAACTGTCTATGTCCTCTAAACTTAACTCTACTAGATATTTTTTTAATTCTGATTTGAATTTTGTTAAGCTCTGAATTTCAAGTAATTTTTTCGGTAGGGCCTGGTACAATTTCATTCCCATGTAATCTGGTTTGTGTTCAAATTTTGTGAGTTTATGTTGGACTGCATGTGTGCCCTTTGTTCGTGTGTTGTAAGTGTGATTTGTAAAAGTTGGTTTAATGTTCTGTGATTTTATATAGCAAACTGATTCATAGATATAAAGTGAAGGGACTGTGAGAAAGCCAAGTTCTTTATAAACATTTTTGCAGCTGGTCCGAGGCGGCATGCCCAAGATTGCTCTTACTGCCATATTCTGCCAGACAAAGATCTGGTCAATATTCTTCTTAACAGCTCCCCATAGAATGATTGAATACAAAATGTGCTGTTCTATTAGGCCAAAATACACAAGTTTAGAGAGAGCCAGGTTTCCGAAGGTTCTTATTCTTCGGAGTACAAAGACCCCTCGAGCCATAGACCCCTCCAGTTTTTTTATTTGTGCATCCCAGCTCAATTTATCGTCCAATCTCACCCCCAAAAAGTCGGCAGTTTTTGAAATTTGAATTTGATCCTCTCCAATTAATAGGTTCGGAGTCCTATTATTTTTTGAATTTTGTCTTTTTGCAGTTTGGATGCACATGTATCCTGTTTTTTGTGAATTTAATTTGAGTTTGTTTGAGGAAAAAAAGTCAGCCAAATCATTTGCTCTTTGATTAGATTCTGCCTCCAGGGCCGCGTCGTCAGTTCCCCTTACGAACAACGTTGTATCATCCGCAAAGAGGTAGACGCTGTCCTGCGGAACAGTATCTGTGATGTTGTTGATGTAGATCAAGAAAAGGAGAGGTCCAAGGACAGATCCCTGGGGGACGCCATTGGAGATCAATTTTTTTGTTGATGAAATTCTTTCAGTTTTTGAATTTGAGTTTTTTTGAATCTCAGTGACTTGGAATCGGTTGCTCATATAGGATGTGAGCCACTTCAGCGCAAGTCCTGAGATTCCAATTGATGCCAATTTTTCCAATAGAATTGCAGGTTCGACACAATCGAAGGCTTTGGAGAGATCAGCAAAACAACCAACTACCGTCTCTCCAGCCTCCATTGCGTCTATACTGGAAATCAATGAGTGCCAATTTTGTTGATTTGTTGCGTCTAAAACCATATTGTCTGTCACACAATATGTTATTTTTTTCCAAGAAGTTGCTAAGTTGCTCCGAAACAACTGTCTCAATCAATTTTGAAACGACTGGTAGGAGAGAGATTGGGCGATAATTCCCCGGATCAGTTCTGTCTGACTTTTTAAAAATTGGTTTTATTTTTGCAATTTTGCAATTCTGAGGGAAAATTCCAGATGTCAGTGAAAAATTGACAATGTGGGTAAGAGGAACTGCCACTTCCTCCCTACAATATTTTAGGACATGCATACTGATTCCATCTACACCACTAGAGTGTTTAGATGGTAGCTTTGAGAACAAATCCAGAAGGTAAGCAGATGTAATCAAATGAAATTGTCCAAGTTCAGCAGTGCCATTCCTCCTAAAACCAGATAAGGCATGGGTTTCCTGATCCTTGTTAACAAGCTTCGAAACATTAACAAAATAGTCATTTAGGGTTTCACACACTTCTATAGGATTTTCTATTTTGTTACCGTCAATATTCAGTATAATATTATTACAGTCTGAATTTTCTTTTGGCCTAATGCTGTTTATAATCTTCCAAGAGTCTTTAGATTTATTTTTTGAGCTGGATATGCAATCGTGTGCCCATTTTATTTTACTTTCCTGTATTTTGTTTTTATATTTATCTTTAAGCTTTAGGTATAATTCTTTGTCAGATATCATTCCTGTCAGCCTCCATACAGAGTATTGTTGGAACATTTTTTCCTTAGCAGCTATTATCTCATTGTTCATCCATTTGTTTTTTCCTTTGCGACTAAGATTAAGTTTTGTTTTTTTATTCGGGCAGCTGATATCAAAATAATATTTGAATGTTTCTATAAAGCTATCATATTTGGTATTAATATCAGGAGCATCATATACTGAGTTCCAGTCCTCTGACTGTAGCCTTATTTTAAGTTCATGAAGATTTTCATCAGTAATTATTCTTTTTTCTAAGGTTTTATTTTGGTTTGAGATACTATTTTGGTTTGAGATAATTTCAGGTAGGCTTATTTCTATTGAGATAGCACAGTGGTCTGAAATATGGGGTTCTTTCTTGATTTGTGCTTTACTGTTTGGTTATATAACTAGGGGACAAGTTATTATTTATGATTAGATCGTATTATTTGGTTAAACGAGGTTTTAAATGGCTGTAATAACGGGAAACAAATTGTAAACAAAACACGACCTCTACATAAACCGTACATGAACTAACAATAAAATTGTCTTCAGCTGTTCCATAAGGATGAGAAATCTACTAAGGGAGTATGTTTTATCTATGTCTGTAGTATCTGTAGTGTATGATCTGTAGAGTAAGCGAAACTACCAACTGTATTTTGTAAAATATAAGACACGAGGCTCATAGGCAGTATTATCCTTAGAGTAAGTGAACCCCACTCATTTATTATATATTTTCGATAGGCTCGTATCATATACGAGCCTGTAGTACAAGTGAACCTTCAATATTATTTACGAGCCTACGAGGTTCGTCTATGATCCGTAGAGTAAGTGAGCCATTTCATTTGTTTTAAGAATTATTACATATTTGGAGGCTCATAGGGTCTATGATTCGTAGTGTAAGTGAACCCTAACCACAGTGGTGTGGTAACACTAAACCACCATCTGGCCATCTGGCCTGGCACTGGCAGGATTCGAGAAAGAAGAAGAATGTAAAGAAAGATTTATTATTTATTTATTTACAAATGTTTTTCTCTAAAAACAACTAATTAAACACATTTTTAAAGTTCAGTCAGTAATTACTATTAATTTAGTGCCATACAACGTGTAACTGTTGGAAAATATATCAGCATCTTGCTAGCAAACCTGGACAATAGCCTACCATAAATTAAGGTTAGTGATAACTTTAACTATTTTCTCAAATCACATTTTGGTAGGGCTATACTATACTACTGTAGTGTAAACGCTTGGCTGAAGCACAAATTTAACCGAGGGTCAATTAATGACACGCTATAAAGCCTGTTACGTTGGTTCAATAGGGTTTAACAATAGTTGGTTCTTTACCTTGACCTTCTTTGTTGTTGATCATATACTATACCAATTAATCTTTATAACTTTTTATCATATTTACAATGATTTAATAAGTTAACCTCCTTTTTTGTGGCAAGGAAGTGAAAATGCATTTAAAAACTCAGGGTCATGTTCTCTTAGGCCACAGCTCCACTTGCCGTAACTTAGATTGCCGCGCTGCAAATTGTAGCTGGTCAGTTGAGGAAATGGGAATGCAGCGATCAAACGAAGGTGGCTCCACTAGCGACAGTCTTCAGCGCGCTACATTTTACGGCTCGCTGTAGAATGTAGCGTCGCGTGGGAATGGAACTTGGACAATTTTTGTGCTACATTTTGCAGCCAACAGGTGGCTCCACTAGCTGTAGATTGTAGTGCCGCGCCAAGTCAGTGTACGTACAGCCGACCAGCATACAGGCACAAGACACACGTTACAATCAATATCGACTGTTTAGTGTCCTTAGTTTTTTTATTTTAGAGCCTGAACTGGACTGTGAAATTATTATATTAGAAATTATTAAATTATTACATCGGGAGTGTGGGAATCTTGATTTATATAGGTTGTGTCTAGAGGTTTCCTACTTTGTATTATAAAGTAATACAGTAGTGATTGGAGAAACAAATAGGCCTAACATTCAATTTGTTTTTAAATGCAGCAGTCGTACAATTGTTATGATTAGCCTACTAGCCCTATAATAAAAAAGCTCATAATGGCTGTTTTAGATTATTATTATTAGGTAGGCTACAACAAAAACTTACGAAACTCATTAATATCCACCCTCATGGTGGAAGGAAAAAACACCCTACATTGGTTACTTAGAAATATTAACTTACTTCTGAGAGAGAATGAGTGTAATAAAATTAAAATAGAATAGAAATAGAGATAACGATAACATGACCATTATAGTAGAGTAATTCGACACAACAAGGATTGTTGAAGCGAGGGTTCACTGTATAAAATTAATTAGTTAAAATTCAGTACCCTAAAATTACCTTAATGTCACTGAAAGCCTTTCCTCTACTCCAATTGCTTCTCTTAGTTTGGTATCCTTCTTAAAACGTGTTGATACTGATTCTATTAAGGAATCAAAGGAGTTTTGGGGCATTCGATAATATTAAAAAAACTTGTCTGAATACTTTTGTAATTTAGGCTAGTATGCAATGTGTGGAACATCCCTTCGGACTTTCCGTTGCTTAATATTGGATGGATCCACCATTTTCCTGCTGTGATCGGAGTCGTCTTGATAACAACACTACGAATGTTAATTTGCGGCATGATCCAGGGCCACGTTTACCTCGGCGCTACACTAAACTGCTAGTGGAGCCACGGTGCATCTGAGGACGCTGCAGATTGTAGTTCGCACTCTGCTGCTAGTGGAGCCACCAACTGTAGCGTGTAGCGCGCTACAATTTGCAGCGCGACAATTTACGGCAAGTGGAGCCGCAGCTTAATAAGTGCCAGGCTCCCATGAGTTCAATGTCCTACAGACAAGCCACCAGCTAAGAAAAAACCCCTCATTTTGTTGAACACTAGCGTGGAACTGTTTAGCACATTAAAGCTAGGTTCTAACATGGGGCTAACTTAGGCCATTGCATTACTCCCCATGGGCTTTTCTTATAAAAATTGTAATCCATTGATGCCGATCCCAATCAACCATCTTAGCCCAAAGTATGGCCTCGGCACATTTTAAGGTCACCTTCTCCTTAAGGCCTTTATAACATGAGGTAGCCTGGTGACGTCCCCATCTACAAAACTGGCTGCTCCACCTGTCATGGGGCATTGATTCTTAAGGATGTTGTTACACGAGGGTAGCCAGCGACTTAAGTTAGCCACACTTGGGCTACCGAGCCTAATAAGTCAAGGATTGATCTCAGCAAAGAACTTAAGGATCTCTACTGGAATACCAGATGTGTTCTACCCTAGTAAAAAGTTTACAAAAAGATTTAAACAGTTTGGCAGACTACCTAACTGTAAAGACATGGTTTTTTTCATGAATAGAGAAGTTATAAGTTTAACTGTTTACGTTCTTTCTGCACAATGGTCTTGAGACTAAAATAATTTAACTATGAAACAAATTCATTGTAGGTAGTATATAGAGCGAAAATAAGATAAACACACCTGTCCACTCTGCACTCCCTACAAAAAGTCTGGATAGCACCCTTCCAGCTGCTATGCTATAGAGAGACATAATCAAATCACCTGAGGCCAATAATAGCCTAAAACAAATTGCAGAGTTTTTCGGTTTTTGAAATCTGTCTATTTCCTCTCCAGATTTGCTACAGCATTTCCATAGGCTTGGAGATTAAGTAAAAACTAACAGTAAGTTAATAGGGAACTGCATTAAGGAAAACTTTGAATCTGTACAACCAGCTCTTCCTAAGGCATGTGGTGTAGGCCTAAATAAGGTTATTGTCTGTCAAACACAATATCTAGAGTTTTGACTTGTCATACACAGCCCACTCTCCTGCCGTGCACAACAATACCAAGTCGTTATGTACTGTATGCATCCACGTATGCTTACCCTTATGGAGGCCTAACCTATTTGCTTCTGCGGCTACAGTTCTACAGAGAACCTGCGTTTATCATCAGGTGAAATTTTCATTCCATGTAAATATCAATTAAAATATTCCATTCCATATATGCCTTACATTAGATGTTAATTTCATGTTTGAATGAAATACATAAATTATTAAGGTGAAATTATTTTAATAAAATAGAACTGAACTCATATTAGGTAACAAAACTATTAAACAAAAGCTATAACAAACAAGATAAATTCAGCTGCAATTTAAACAATGTTCAAACATAGCAGTTAATATTGATTTTCTTTTACGAGTCTTTTAAAGAAGACGATCACCAATCTTGCATGCATAACATGCAATCTAAATTTGGCCTTTTATTTAAAAGCTCGTCCAAACCGAAGCTGGACAACGTTGGGAGCGGAACGGTATCGGGACGAATTTCCGCGCCAGATTTTAAAACATTGGTGATAAATGTAACCAACCACACAAGAGCTGCACTGCTGCTGTCATCCCACCAGTTTCAAACATGTTTGATTTTCCCGCTCGCACCGCCGCGAGACCACATGGCTCTTAGGCCTCGGGCACGATACGAGCGGCGAGCGGCACTTAAGAGGCGGGGGTGGTTACGATACAAGCGGCACATTTATAACACTCATCAAATTTCCCCAGTTTTAGTCGAAAATGGTAAACTATACTTACCTGCAAGACGTATTGCAACTATTTTTACTATCTGACAATTGTTTGACTTTAAATAAAAACTAAGTTTTTAGAAAAACCTTAACACTAACTTGGTCCCATAATTTTCTGGTGACTGAAGTGTTTTAAAACTTCCGTGCTGGTTATCCCACAAACATTTTCTTGACTGCACCTCACATATCGACCCAAATTGCATGTTTGCTGCTGTTTCCCTGTCATTTTAGGCCGAACTGAAGCATGACTCACCTGAGCGGCGAGCGGCGTTTTTGCGAAAATCAGTTTTGACTTGGAACCATGAGTTGCGCTGAGTGGTGCCGCTTACCGCCGATACGTCTGAGCGGCGGTAAGCGGCACCACTCAGCGCCGCTCATGGTTCCAAGTCAAAACCGATTTTCACAAAAACGCCGCTCAGACGAATCGTGGCCACCCTCAACAAGTTTACATGCAATTAAATGAGACCCGATATCAGAGCGGTGCCGCTCATGCCGCTTGCCGCTCGTATTGTACCCAGGGCCTTATGCCGTTTAGTATGACTTCTGTTATAAAACCCAGGAGTTCATTAATACATGCGATGGTCATTCTAAAATCAATTAATATAGAACCGCCTTTAGTTTTTTCTTAGATCCAGCATAGGGGAATGGTAGGCCTACTCGCCAAATAAATTTATAGATTTATAAATTTCATTAACACAAAAATGGACTGCTCTCTTCCACCTATATCTTCATCCTCAGCTTTTGCTAGCATTTTCCTAAAACTTCTTATCTTGTGGCCTCAGATTCATAACTTGAACTCATGAGACACAATAATATAAACATTCACTAAACTAAGCTGAATATGAACTGAGGAGACGTCCCACGTTCCGCTGCCTGCTGCTTCGGTGTGGACTATCCCATTCCCGCCACGTACCGCTGCCATTTTGTGAATTGATTTCCATAATTGATATTTTGTATCTGTTAATGTGCTAATGGAAATTCTTTAACTTATTTATTTCTGTTAATAATGTACTTGTTAATATAGTCACAGACCTATGACTTTATTTAACGTTTAATGTAAAATACATAGATTGTCCAGGAGCTAAGGGGGTTTACGCAATGTTATTGCTTATTATTGTAATATGGACTGTCGTGATCAAAATTACGTATGTCGCCTATTTCAAAAGTGATCTATAAGGTAGGGGGTAGGGGGCAAACATGGCGGTTTGCCTATGCGTTAAAACGCTGATATTTCAAAAACGGTAAAAGATAGAACATCGGTTAAAACGTTGTTGTAATTCCTAAAAATGTGGACTACAATAATGGTATTGGGTCCGATGTCGTATCTCTATAAATAAACAAGTTATTGTATAAAATATGTAAAAATGGACTTTTCGTGTAGTTTTTTTTACCGAAAGTATAATTAATTTGTGAGTGTCGCAAAGAAGTAATATCAAATATCTTTGCTGATAGTTGTAATATGGACTGTGGTGATAAAAAATATGCATGTCGCCTACTTTTCAGGTGGTCGAGAACTTGGGGGGAGGGGGGCAAAGATGGCGGAACGCGCTATGCATTGGAACGACTGTAGCTCGATAACGGTACGAGATGGGACATCGGGTAAAACGTAGTTTTAATCCCAATAGGAAAGGTTATAGGGTAAAAAGTTGTATCTTAACTAATAAAAAAGTCATAACAATAATAAGTTTAACAAAATCTACATTAAACAGCTATTTTGTTCAAAAATCATATGGATTGTTGATAAATAATAGTGTAATTACTTAATTACTCGGCTAAATATTAACTAGATGCATTTTCCTATAAGAAAAAAAATATTATTACGAATACATATGGTTTAAAATGTAAAACACGGCCTCCAAACGCCTTGGGGTTCGTCCGATAAGTTGCGTCATAATTGCTGCGCATTGCTGCTGATATCGGCACAACTGTTAATCCCCCCAAAGATCATTGCCTTCCAACTCTGTGATATCAGGGTTGTGAAAGTATTTGTACAGTTTATAAGACTACTAACATTTATTGTGTTTTATTTATACAAATAACATTCGTTTATAACTTTTAATAGTTATTTAAATAGTTTAAATTTCAATACATTTTATTATAAGTTACATACGTTTTTTTTTTTATTGTGTGTGGCTGGTGTTTATATACGTTTTTTCTTAGTGACTAGTGGATTAGGCAATTAAAGTTAAATTTCACCAACTTACAAAAGTTAGCCTACCTATTTCAATTCAACAAATAATATGATTAACCAGTGTAATTGTTATGGATAGAATAAAGAGATTTACCATATTTTTTATTATAAGGTATTTATTTTTGTAAATGTTTTTTATTTCAATTCAATTCAATTCAAAACTACTTTATTCATCTCTTGTACAAAATACATTGAATAGTGTCAACAGTTCAGCTGCAATTAGGCCTAATATTTATTAAATACATTTCTAACATAAGAAAATAAAAACAAAATTTCACAAAATTACATTTTTTTTTTTTATAAATTGTAAACAAAAAATACATATCCTGAATTAGTTTTTGACCTAAAAGACTATCCAACTCTTCAAAAGAAAAAATAGCCTTGCTGATGAGAAATCTTTTTAATTTATTTTTAGGTATTGTTTTGGAAGTCTCTGGTTTAATTTAGATTGGGAGATTATTATAAAATTTTGATCCCGCATATATGGGTTTTTTCTCAAAAAGCTCTGGACTATGGTGGCCAATTGCAAGGTTTTCCCGATTTCTGGTGAAATAATTATGACTATCCCCAACTCGTTCCAAATCATGAAGTCTGTCCTTTACTGATAAAATTGTTTCAAAAACGTACATTCCGTAAATTGTCATTATATTTCCTGATTTAAAATGTTCTTTATTAACAGAAGATTCAAAATCTAAATTGCAGATGATTCTAATAGCTTTCATTTGCTTTTTTAGAATAGAAATCAAATTGTAATCACTAGTTGCACCATAAAGTGAAATCCCAAAAGATATACTTGAGTGGATATATGAAAAATATATAACTTTTAGAGTTTGTTTTTCACATAAGGGTTTCAATCTAGATAAAGCATATAATCCTGATGTGATTTTGGCAAGTAACTTTTTAACGTGACTGTTCCATTTCAGATTTTTGTCAATTTCCAATCCCAAGAATTTAATGTTGTCTATACTTAGAATAAGAATAAGAATAAGAATAAGAATGCTTTATTGCCGTTACACTGGTTTACATGCATGGCACAGTCAAGGAAATGTCTTAGAACTAAAGGTTTTAACTAAGGTTTAATTTAACATCGTTTATAAAGTCTATTTCTCTATATGGACACAGGTTTAACAGGTAGTTTTTAAGTACTATTTTAAATTTAAAACAATTAAAACATCTTATTCTATTAGGTAACATATTATAATACTGATTGGATTTTTCAATAAAACTAGTAGCTGTGGTGCTGTATCGACACTGTCTAGATATAAAATTGCAGCGGTTTCGTGTGTTGTAACTGTGTACATTTTCATGTGTGTCTGTTTTACTAAAACTATTTTTTGCAAACACAAGGCAGTCTAAAATATACATTGCTTGTAAAGTTAAAATATTAGCCTCCCTAAATAATGGTTTACAGTGTGTTCTAAAATCAACATTGTACATGATTTTTATTGCTCGTTTTTGCAATGACAAAAGTTTTTTTTTATAATTACTACCTCCCCATACAATTGTTCCATAACTTAGATGGGAATGTATATGTGCATAGTAAATGCATTTCAAGGTATTAAAATCTACACTGTTCTTAAGCATGTTTATTATAAATATTCCTTTATTAAGTTTTTTAGCTGTATAATCAATATGAACTTTCCACTTTAAGTTAGATTCTATAAAAACACCTAAACATTTTACACATTTTTTATTATGCCTATTATTAAAACTAATACATAAATCTTGAGTTTTTTCTACATTTAAAAACAATTTATTGGCCTTACACCAGTCTTTGATTAAGCTATCTGCTTTGTATGCCATTACTGTTGAATTTAGCAAATTCTCACTTTGAATTTGTATTGCTAAATCATCTGCAAAAAGATAAGGCTTAACATTGAGGTTTAGAATATTTTTAGGCAAATCATTAATGTAAATGATGAAGCATACTGGGCCCAAAATTGAGCCCTGTGGGACACCATGTAACACCTCTTTAAAATCAGAAAAAACACCATTGCAATAAACACTTTGATATCTTTTATACAGATATGATTCAAAAAATTTTAAAGTATTTTCTTCAAACTTATAAAAGGCAAGTTTTTGTAGTAGTAGATCATGGGACACAGTGTCAAAAGCTTTTTTCATATCATAAAATTTCAACGAAACATTATTTTGCATTTCTAACTCATCTAAACAATAAGAAATTAG